TCGTGCGCCTTCACACTAGAGCAGGGGTTTTCAACCTGCGGGGCCCCAGTGGGGCGCCAGCACCTGTCAAGTGGGTGCGAGCATCAGTTAGCCAGTGCTGCTTCCTCGAGAAAGTTTTTCATTCTCACGTGTTTTAAGTCTTGTCAGTTTAAACATTAAAGTAATTTTAAGCCATTTAAGCCCAAGATATCTCAATGCGGTACTCACGCACTGTGATAGAGCGATTCTATGCGCACCGCTCACACACCTGAAGTGCACAAACAGATAGCCTTCTCAGACAGCAGGTGAATACCAATGGCTGTCTTGACAAGTATCCTTGTAAGCACAGTCGGTTGTTTTAAATGAATGTAAACACTAAAGAAAATATCAAATGGCCACATGTCACATCACTTTCACTTTCACTTTTTGAATGGATGGTTCATTTTAACAGCAGATTCAGTGACGTTAGAGACTAGAGCTGATCTGCGCTTCACGGCACGCGTCTGCGGCGCATTAAAGCCTGTGTTACGGCCACCGGAGCTGATCGCGGCCACTCAATGCTGGTGTTTACCGGCCGCGCCACGGCCCCAAACTCATGCTTATCACATCGGTCACATCACGGCGCGACAAAATACAATTGAATTCTATTGTATTTTGTTGCACCGCTCGCGTCCGGTGTAGAATATAACCCATTATGTTGTCTACACCGGATTCAGTAAACTGATGCCTCGTTCTATTTATGACGTGCTGACAGAAGTTCAAATGATTTTCAATGGTCGCTTTGTCGCGTTCTGTTGCAGCGCAGACACGGTGTCAGCATAGTTCGTCAGTACAGTCAGTAACGTAGCAGATTGAAAAGTAAGTATCTTTCTGCAGTCTAATAGACGGCATTGCGGTGGTGGCTTGGGTCTGTTGAGTTGTGATTTAACGCTACGTTGTCACCTACTTGGAGAGACTCAATGCTAAGTAAATAAACATCAATGCCCTCGTCTTTTACTATCACAATGAGCTTATCATATTCGTTTGCTACATTAGTAGGGTCCTATTATTTCCGCGATGCATAAAACATGGACGGAATCGTGGAATCTAGTCATAAAAACAGAATTTACTGTATAACGCGGAATTTCATGGAATTTGTCTTATTTTTGATGAATAAATAAAAAACAGGTCAGTACATATATATAGCCTGTGTCTGTGAATATTAAACTGCAAAAAGACGATTTAAATACGAATGTCCTGCATGTTCATTGGATTACCAGAAATACATAACACAGAGTTTGTGAAAAAAATATTATTCATTATTATTATTTATTCATTTTAGATGTTTACATTTGGAAAAGCTGTGCTTCCAGCATAAACCTGCCCCTGTTGGTTTGGCAGTAGCTTGCTTGCCCTACACAGTTACCTTGTTTAATTTCTTAATTCAAGTTATATATATTTTGTTCTATTTGTGTTAAGTTATTTATAATAAGTGAAGTGAAGTTTACCGTTAAGTGCACTGATGTCAGACTCATTTTGAATAATAAAGTTTATTGTTAAATTGTTAAATACCCTGCCTCCACTACATAGGCCTATGTTTGTCACATCATTATAAGTGTTTGATCACCACATTTGAGTTATCATTGCAAAAAATGTGTTTATGTATATATAT